TTATATCCAGGAGACAATAATCTGACAAAATAATAATTTAATATCTTTAATATTAACATGTTTTAAAAGAAGTAAATATAAATTCTCTCTCTCTCTGTTGTTGAAAAATACAGAATTGTGCTTTTTAGTACAATAATACTAAGGACCATAAGTTTGTAATACAATTTACGAACATTTAGTAAAAGTGACGTTTCCATTGTCACAAGTAGTAATTAACCATATACACACACATACACATACACGAAGTGTCTCTCAATAGATCGACTCTATAAACGTACAAGGATAAATAGTGCATCCGTCCTTGAATAATCATAGGACTTCGAGTACGATAATCCACCATATTAGAAGCCAGCCTATAGACGGAGACATATATCAAAACATAACAAGCAATTTTAACGAAGAATAAAAGCATACAGCTGAGATCTTGAATATAATATAGGAGTCATAATACTCCCATCTTACTGTATAAGATCGACTCACTTCAAAATCAAAACTTGGGTAATACGTCGAGGTCACACTTAAATCCAGTAAATGACTTTATAACGTCAGAAAAACTCGTAATCTTAGTAGATATTAAAATCTCTGAGTTCAGAACTAACTCTGTCCTTCACAAATACTTAGTGTAGCGAGAAAGAGGATCCATCTCACCAACGGAACCGTCTATTATCCAAAACTTGAGTCAAAACAAACTTCCAGAGAAGGAGATGTTTGCAAGGTTAGAGGTAGGGTGGTACTCACTCAGGCAACGAGATGTTACCAAGCTAAAGGTAGGCTGGTACTCACTCAGGCAACGAGATGTTACCAAGGCTAAAGGTAGGCTGGTACTCACTCAGGCAACGAGATGTTACCAAGGCTAAAGGTAGGCTGGTACTCACTCAGGCAACGAGATGTTACCAAGGCTAAAGGTAGGCTGGTACTCACTCAGGCAACGAGATGTTACCAAGGCTAAAGGTAGGCTGGTACTCACTCAGGCAATGAGATGTTACCAAGGCTAAAGGTAGGCAGGTACTCACTCAGGCAACGAGATGTTACCAAGGCTAAAGGTAGGCTGGTACTCACTCAGGCAACGAGATGTTACCAAGGCTAAAGGTAGGCTGGTACTCACTCAGGCAACGAGATGTTACCAAGGCTAAAGGTAGGCTGGTACTCACTCAAGCAATGCCATCTAATGCAGGACTCATCCAACTGGTTTACAAGCAATACCGGAGACCATTAGTTAACTATTTTACGACAGTAGAAAGCAGGTTCCTAGACGAATTTACAATAAAATAGCATACCTACCAATACAAACACTAAGTATTATAAGGTCAGCAAAATTTAAAGCAAACTATCTTGTTTTAGCTATCAATGAGAGATTACGCATTATAAATTAAGTGAGAAATAAACAGATACGCTTAAAACAAATACACTTTGGTCCCATGCAATGGGATCAACCCAATCATCTGATAAGACTTTGAGAGAGCCGATGACAACATACTAGGCCGACCGTGCAACTCTGTCCTTCATAAAAACATCCTAGAAACCTTTCGCGAGCCCTAAGTACACTATGGAGAAGGAACTTAGACATGCCGAAATTTCACATCACTAAAAACAACGTAAACCCTCTTACCATAAAAGAATGGCATTAAAGATTAGCTAAGAAATATAGAGCAATAGCTCTAACGTCCAATAACAAATAACTTTGAAAGAGTGCAAACCACTTGAATTCCAAAAATTGCACATACCAGGCGCAACATGGTTCTAGTAAGTCGCTCCTGCCTTTCGCATTCCCCAGTACCACTATGATAAGGACTTGGATGCATGGAGAAAACAGCACAAAAGCAGATGGCAATTTACACAATTTGCAAAAGCCTTTGACATAGGCAATCATGGCTTAACAGTCACACAAAAAACGTGCTAAAGGAATAATTGCAAAAGTGGGAAATGGATTTCAACTTCCTAACCATTCGAACACAAAGAGTATAGTCAACAGAGTTTCAATCGGAACTTGCAAAGTGAAAAGCTCTGTTACCACAAGGTACAGTACTCGCCACTATGCCTTCCTTTCCTCATATCAGACAATACTAGGAAATACAATGGAACTGTCATCTATTGAGGACGCGGTTAACTCCAAGAAGATATAAACCCTTTCTTTTCTCAATGGGCAACGGAGAACCATAGATGTTCAATGAGGACGAAATTCCAAACATACCATCTACTCCGTTATGGAAAACTGGAGGAGATAATAACTAGAACTGAGTATACTACAAACTCTGATCATACAATACAGCGAGAAAATAATGTGAGGGAACCTGGGAGTGGTAATGCCTGAGGATCTCACTTTCAAGGATCACAACAGTGCCACGATCACAACTGCAAAGAAAATGATAGGATGGATAATGAGAACGTTCAAACGTTCAAAACAAGAGATGAGAAGCCAATGATGATCCTTTTCAAGTCACCTGTTCTCTATAGGTTGGAATACTGCTGTACATTAACATCTCCATTTAAAGCAGGGGAAATTGCAGATCAAGAGAGTGTACAGAGAATCTTTACTGCACATATAAGTTCCATCAAACAACTTAACTACCTGTGAACGTTTGAAAGCACTTGTACTCACTGGAAGGCAGGCGAGAAAGATATATCATAATCTACACTTGGAAAATCCTAGAAGGGATGGTCCCGAATCTGCACACAGAAATCCCTCCCTACGAAAGTAAAAGACTGGGCAGGAGGTGCATAATGTGTACTCTCAATGAAAAGTAGGGGCGCCATTGGTACACTAAGAGAAAACACCGTAAGTGTCCGGGGCCCAAGACTGTTCAACGGCTTCCCACCATGCATAAGGAGGATTATCAATAGGCCCCTTGGCTGCCTTCAAGAGGAAGCTGGACAGATACTTAAAGTCGGTGCCGGATCAGCCGGGCTGTGATTCGTACATTGCACTACATGCGGCCAGCAGTTACAGCCTGGTTGATCAGGCCCTGATCCACCGGGAGGCCTGTTCATGGACCGGTCCGCGGAGGCGTTGATCCCCGGAATACCCTCCAGGTAGACTCCAGGTAGGTAGACCGTGGATGTAACAACACCGTGGCTGCAACAAAACCGTGGATGCAACAACACCATGGCTGTAACAACACCGTGGCTGCAACAAAACCGTGGATGCAACAACACCATGGCTGTAACAACACCGTGGCTGCAACAACACAGTGATGCAAAACACCGATGGCTGCAACAACACCGTGGCTGCAACAAACCGTGGATGCAACAACACCGTGGCTGTAACAACACCGTGGTTGCAACAACACCGTGGTTGCAACAACACCGTGACTGCAACAACACCATGGCTGTAACAACACGGTGATTGCAACAACATCGTGGTGCAAAAACACCGTGCTGCAACAACACCGTGGCTGCAACAAACACCGTGGACTACAACAACACCTGGCTGTCAACAACACCGTGATGCAACAACACCGTGGTTGCAACAACACCGTGGCTGTAACACACGTGCTGCAACAACACCGTGGTTGCAACAACACGTGGGCTACAACAACACCGTGGTGCAACAACACCAGTGGCTGCAACAACACCGTGCTGCAACAACACCGTGGGCTGCAACAACACCGTGGCTGCAACAACACCGTGGTTGCAACAACACCGTGGCTGCAACAACACCGTGGTTGCAACAACACCGTGGTTGCAACAACACCGTGGCTGCAACAACACCGTGGTTGCAACAACACAGTGGCTGCAACAACACCGTGGTTGCAACAACACCGTGGCTGCAACAACACCGTGGCTGCAACAACACCGTGGCTGCAACAACACCGTGGCTGCAACAACACCGTGGCTGTAACAACACCGTGGCTGCAACAACACCGTGGCTGCAACAACACCGTGGCTGCAACAACATCGTGGTTGCAACAACACAGTGGCTGCAACAACACCGTGGTTGCAACAACACCGTGGCTGCAACAACACCGTGGCTGCAACAACACCGTGGCTGCAACAACACCGTGACTGCAACAACACCGTGACTGCAACAACACCGTGGCTGCAACAACACCGTGGTTGCAACAACATCGTGGTCACAACAACACCGTGGTTGCAGCAACACCGTGGTTGCAACAACACCGTGGTTGCAACAACACCGTGGTTGCAGCAACACCGTGGTTGCAACAACACCGTGGTTGCAACAACACCGTGGTTGCAACAACACCGTGGCTTATTTATACTTCAGGTGTGACTATGATGTCCTAATAATATTAATAATAATAATAATAATAATAATAATAATAATAATAATAATAATAATAATAATAATAATAATAATAATAATAATATCACAACGACCTCAGTGGAAATAAATCACTTTGACTCTTTTGGGTTACCGGAGGGGAGAGGGGGGAGGGGAGAGGGGGGGGAGAGGGGGAGGGGGTAATCTACACATATGCTGCTATGTGTGATAATTTATGTAAGTATATATTTGTACCTGTATCTGAATAAACTTATTATGAGTATATAAGACATTTTGGTTAGGAGTTGCGCGCGCACTGCCCGCCCATAACATAGATATGCAAATACTAACAGTTGGGTATAT